TACGAATACCATCTCTCCTTCCGGCGTCTCCCACTCTTAAATGATAAACAAATTTTTGTAGGAAATTAAATGTTTTATAGAAAGGGACTGATGTGTTTAACTCTATGGTTTAACCGATTACTCTAACCACCACCAAACATTTAATTTTGTTATAACCTAACTTTTTATTTTTTATTGCTTAAACTATCTCATCTATTTTTTTGTAAACTTAATATGGCCATATAAAGGGAATAATCACTAGTGTAAAAATAATAAATAACTTTTAAATTATAAACAAGATCAATTTAATGATCCTGATTAAACTAAATATTTTTAAAACTGAATTTTTTTAAATACCCTCTAGTCCAGTGAGGTTATGTCTTACTTGCTCGGACAATTTAACAACTGGCTACAACAAGACATTGGCGCCCTAATATAATTTTGTATGAGACAAACTGGTAAGTATCAAAAAATAATACTCAGCCCATCGGCCAATCTCTCCGATTCTAAGCTGCCGTACGCCTAGTCTTCAAGTTGAGGTTACACCCGTTGTAACTACGAGACGGCAAAGGAGTATAGACCCATCAGTCTATCCTCGTTACTTTTAAAAACTATGGAGAAACTGGTGGACATATTTATTAGGGACGGGGCACTAAAAAGAATTCCCAGGCATCCCAATCAACACGCCTACAGGACAGCCATGTCGACGGAGACCGCTCTTCACAGCCTTGTGACAAGACTAGAGAGAGGGACTCGTCCTAAAGAGATGGCTCTGGGCACGTTTCTAGATATTGAAGGAGCTTTCAACAACACCTCCTTCGAGTCGATAAATAGAGCTGCAGAGGGCTTTGGCCATTGTCAAATGGATACGTGTCATGCTGGAAAGCAGGATCATTACAAGCTCGATTGGAACTACGGAGATCAGCTCAACCGTAGCCAGAGGCTGCCCGCAAGGAGGAGTACTACACAGCAAACGGAAAATTATAGAAGTGTATAGGATGACTCCGCGTTTGAATATCAAATCTTAAAGTTTTATCATAACTGTATTGAATCGTGCTTTGTTTTTATATTTTTCGGCTCTATACCTATGCACGACTATATTTAAAGTCAAACTCAATGGTGTCTTACAAGATACATTATTTTGATTTTCTATATTCAACAGAGGAGTAGAAACTCGACCCTGTCGAATGGTGCAGTCATTTATGTCTCTAGAAATTATTAAAAAAGGGTTCAGTCCAATGGTGCAGCAACTTCGGATTCCTATTCTCCTCAGAGACATAGAAACTCAAGCTTTTCGAATTTTACTGGCAATGATTTTCGTTAATGTCCCCGAGAATTATACAAAAACAGCGCAATGCAATATCGCAACGGTTTCGACTTCTCTTTACTCTACCAAGTTATAGAAACTGGAGTCTCTCTAATACTGTTCTAGTCAATATTTCTGAGAGTATACAAAGAGGGTGTAATATTGCAAGAAGTTTTGATCTTTTGATGGATGCAAGTAGTTTGAATTTTCTCCTTTCTGCATATGATTTTGTTGAAAATAGTTCCTTTCTTTGGTTCCTTTGTCTGATTTTTAGTTACCGTAACAACTCAGGTATGTAAAGCACAGATGATATGATGTTAAGTATATTTATGTATTATATAAAGTACCTAGGTATATTTGTATTAAAAATTTCAGAGGTTATGTTGAAAAAATGATCGATATGCTATTAAACTTTAATAATTTAGTAATTAGGTCTGTTGGTAGACCCTGCACTATCTCCACTGGTATATGTTAGTTTTGTAATATTTAAATCTGGTTGATGAAAAAGTACACACCAGTGCAGGTTATTGTAGCATCTACGAACAAATGAATTAATGGCCCACTGGCAATTATTCCTTTAGGAAAAATATTCAACACAGCTTAATTAATTAATAAAATGAAAAAAATCACAATCATGTCGTATATAGGTTTTTTTTTAAGCATAAAATAATTTTTATATTAATACTAGTTCAAAAGTGAAATTACGACCTCTATACTGTGGAGAGTATTGAAACGCTCGACTGACGAATACAACTCTATACCGTAGGGAGATTTAGAAAACGATATTCAAACGTGGCGTCATCCTATATACCTCTATAATTTTTCGTTTGCTGTGTATCGCCCTTGCTGTGGTGCCTAGTGCTGGATGGGCTACTTCGCATCCTAAACGAACTCGTCATTGTCGTAGGAAGGGTACCAAACACTATTAAAGAGATCATGCAAAGAACTCTTAATAAGGTCGAAAGGTGGTGCAACGATCACGGACTATCCGTCAATCCGGATAAGACAGAAGTAGTACCATTCACCAACCGAAGAAACGTTAACCTTGAAGGGATCACGCACTTTGGATCAAGACTGACCCCATCCAAATCAGTCAAGTATCTAGGAGTCATCATTGACTCCAGGTTGACCTGGAAGAAACATGTCAACAGGGTCGTCCAGAGGGCCACTCATAGCCTATGGGCATGCAGGAGGACCATTGGACGCAACTGGGGCTTACAACCCCACTGGCTTTACACAACAGTCATAAGGCCAAGGATCACATACGGCAGCCTTGTTTGGTGGAATGCGTTAAACAAGCCCACCTACAGGAAGAAGATGTTACAAGCTCCAACGATTTGCCTGCATGGGCATAATTGGAGCTTTTAGAACCACTCCAACATTGGCAATGGAGGCCGTACTGGGACTGGCGCCTCTACATCTCTTTGTGGAGGCACGGGCTCGGGAGGCCTCGGTCAGACTCAACGATTGGGGACAGTGGACTCACGGGGGGGGGGAACTCAAGGCATGCAAGGGCCTGGTCTGAGACTATCAACCGGGACCCCCTTCTCACAAGAAGGGATGCAATGTCAAAGACACAAAGTGGTTTTCCCCTCCAGAAACGACTGGAGCGAGCCTGACTCAGGCTTTCTCAAACCGGAAGGGCTCATCTGGTACACAGACGGGTCTTTAATGAAGGAAGGTGCAGGAGCTGGTGTATATGGGGAGCGACCTGGGGCGAGAATAAGCCTTGCACTAGGTCGATACCCAACGGTATACCAGACTGAAATCTTTGCCATCCTGATATGCGCCCAAGAGAATCTCCAGAGAGGCTACTCGGGTTAACATATCTACATATGTAGCGACAGTCAAGCAGCACTCTGGGCTCTTCACTCGGAAAGGTTCAACTCGAGACTTACACTGGACTGCATAAAAACCCTCGAACTACTCAGTGTGCTCAACAAGGTTAACCTTATCTGGGTACCGGGTCATCGAGGCATCAAAGGCAACGAGGAAGCAGACCAGCTGGCAGGTGAGGGCAGCAACACGGCCTTCTTGGGGCCAGAACCTGTCATAGGGGTCTCCTCCTGTCTGGTAAAAACCAAGATCAGGAACTGGACTAACGACCAGTTCCAGAACAAATGGCTTGAACAACAAGGCCTCAGGCAGTCAAGGGTCTTTATAAAGAGTCCTACTACCTGCAAAGAAGCAAACATATTCCTGAAACTTAACAGGAACCAGTTAAGAACCATCACAGGAGTCCTAACAGGACACTGGGTAGTCAAATACCACCTACACAAAACCGGACTCAGCAACGAGACGGATTGTAGGTACTGCAGCGAAGTAGACGAAACTACCGAGCATATAGTCTGCGAATGCGAGTCAATAGTAGACTAAGACACCTAGAGGACAGATACTTGGAACCAGAGGAAATAATGCATGCCCGACCAGAGCGGGTCTGCGCTTTTCTTAAAAGCTTGGGCTCGTAAGGTTAGGCAGGGCTTCACCAAAAAGGGGGTTTGCACAATGGGCCGTATGTGTGCCTAAGTGCTGCCTGCAAAGGCTCCCCTTCAAATCAAATCAAATCAAAAACCGCGACCGGGTGTAGGGCAAAACAATTAAAAGTCTGCAAGCGTCGGACAACAGCTTTGATAAAACCGACATTGCAAATCTAACCCCTGAACAACAAGACATCAGGGACACAGCGACTCGTTTTAAATCGATCGAGACCAAAATCCCGACAGTAATTCCTAACAAGTCCCAGCAAACCTAAATACATCATAAGTAAACTGTCCAACAATAACGCACCTGGGAAAGATGGACTGGACAACATTCTACTCAAAAACACTCCGAGAAAGGCGCTAGTTCAGTTAACATACATAACAAATGCTTGAATAATTAAATCTTACTTCCCGACAGTGTGGAAACATGCTGTCATAATACCCATCCATAAACTCGGCAAGGATTCTCCCCTTCCTACCAGCTACCGTCCTATTAGCTTAGTTATCAACCTTTCTAAGGTTGCCGAACGCGCTATACTACCTATCATCAATAAACTTGATAAATCCTTCTCGGTTAAATTCACTAAGAATAAAATATTCTCACTAATAACGCTGCCCACACCACAGCCAAATATTTGGCTGAATATATATCGGCATTATATTTCACAGCAGGTTGTCTTTCGCTCCGCACGTTAAATCAATTAAGCAAAAGGCATACAACGCTGAGATCAATCTACGCACTATTTAATAAAAATAGCCCGGTCTCGCTGCATAATAAGGTCATTTTGTATAAAATGCTCATTATACCTGCCCAGTCTGATGCTCTGCATCAGACACGCAGCTTGATTAATTACAGCGCATTCAAAATAAATAACTGCGCCATGCCACCTGCAGTGGCAGATATGACACCGTTGACAACCTTCATCAAATGGCCAACGTAGAAATGATTGAAGACTACATATACCGACAAGCGAACAAAATCAACAAAAGCCCGCTTACCAGAGGCATTACCACCATTAGACATTTCGACAATATTTTGTACAAGCACCACCTAATTTATGGTATATTACCCATTTTATACCAAACCAAAATCCAGTCACTGCACCTTTTTAGCACTGAAGAGAATATCGCTCCTATATAAGCGCACTTTTTCGGCTGTCGCTACCTGACGTGATTTCAGTCGCCATACCTTTATCTTAGTCCCATGGGACTATGCGTCACAGATCGGCGGCCGAGGGGCATTATGTACATAAGCTACAAGTCCATTAATAAATAAATAAATATAATAAAACTCTATATTTAACTTGGTTTATTAAAAAAAAGATTATTCTTATATTTAGTGACTAGACATACAAAAATGTAAAATACACTTAAATAAAAAATTAAAACTAGCATCGATCATTTTTCACTGCTGGATTTAAATCGCTGAAATATTGATGCAACATGGCATCATCGGCTGAAAGTCGACCCATTGGGTTGCAAACTAGTAAACGTTGCAACAAGTCGCGTCCTCTGTTGCCCAACTTTGGCACAACCTAAAAAATACCATTAAGTTAGGTAACCTAACTTAAAAAGTTAATATATTAGCATATATTTAATACTTCTATACTCCTAACGCAATAAGTTGGAGTGTGCTTTTGTCTTTTTTTGCTGTACTAATCTGTTTTGCAATTGATTGTTTCAACTCTTGGGCATATTCATTAGAATCCGAATGCCATAAAAAGAGACAGATGTATATATATATATGTATATATACATATATGTTCAAGGTTGTATGTCATGTTTTTTGCACTTTCCGACTTAATAATATAACAAGGTTGTATGCTCGGTTGAATGTAACCAAATCTTTCTTTTTCAAGCAAAACGTCAACTTTACAATTTGCATTGTTCTTTGTTTCTGACAAACAAATATAATTGATTAATTTGTTATTAATTAAATAATAAAAACATGGATGAAGATTTTAATGAGGAGGATCAGCAGGATCCATAATTAATTAATTTGTTAATAATTCCATAATAAAAATATGGATGAAGATTTTAATGAGGAGGATCAACAGGATCCATACTTTGACGTTTATGACTCCCATAGAGATAAGGAATTTATTCCAGATAATAGGTCTCAGGTATTTTTTGAGGTTTTTTATTTCTTTTAATAAGTAATTAAAACATTTATGCACAGTTATATCGAGCATATTCAATCGACAGCGACAATAATTAATGATGAATTGAAAGACCTTGTAGTAAGTGATCAAATGGAGGTGCAGCCTCCAGAAAGTAATGAATTGGAAATAAAAAATAACTGAACAGGAGCGCTCAACAATTTTTTCATCGAAAAAAAAAATGATTCTACCAAAGCAAGGACAAACTAAAACGGCAGTAGTTAAAACGTTGAAACGAAAAAGAGCACAAAAAAACAAGATTCAAATAATGATAATTTCTATTAACTACATATGTATTTTTTATTAGACCGTTTTTCTATTTTAAATAGTTTACTTTTGTAGTTTTTTTTCAGTTTAGTTTTAATTTTGAAGTTTACCTTAAGTTAATTAAAATATCATAGTTCTATGTAACGAAAATAATTAAAAAAATTTACAAAGTTGTATGTTTTTTCAAAAATTTTACTAATTTCGAATACGCTAAAGTATCGGGTTTTCGAAACGCGTGCGCCATCTGGTGGACTTCGATAGCATTGTATGAATTTAAGAATTGTCAACAATACATTTAAAGCATACGAACTGCACATCTTTTTTAAATAAATAGGTAGTTTTTTCACTACTAGAGAGGAGGGTAGTCTTACTCGACAAATTTTGTTCAATTACACAGGAAAAAACTAAAAAACTGGTTTAGTACTCGATTTCGATTGATTATTCCTTATATCATTGATAAAGAAACGCTTAAATACTATATACTATATAGTTACGTTAGTGTGTGTATTTTATCTGATGAATGATTGTGTTTTTAATTGTAAATAAAATTCATGAACTAAATCGTTGCATTTCCATATATTGCCAAAGGATCCAATTCGTAAGAACATTTGTTGGTGCAGAATTAACTAATGATAACTTTACCTAATATAATTTATATTTAAGTTTGGACATTTTAAAGAAATTAGTAAAAAATAAACATAACCTTAAAATCGAACATTTTTATATTTGAGTTCTCTAAAAAACGCCGACAACTTAATTTTAAACAACAAAATATACCTACGAATTCATGGCAACATAATATGTTATAATATATAATATGTTATAATATTATATATTATAATACACTGCGCGTCAAAATTAACGCATAATAAGTAAAAAAATTCTAACTCTAAAACGCCTATACCAATCTTTATGAAATTTTGTATAAGAATACTTAAACTTTTATAGGGAATTTTTTTTAAGTAAATAAAAAATATGCTGTTTTGTTAGTATACCCTGAAAATTTTGTACGAATCAAACGAACAGTAACAAAGATACAATAATCACGTTGTGATATCACTTCACCAGGAAATCCCGATTGTTGTCCGGGGTGTTCTAAACAAAATTTTTTGTTATAGGTCCCTGTGTTTTAGGATTCTTTATGAAACCTTTTAATTCAAAAGTTTCGGGGGAGGCAAATTTTATGTGGAACACCCTGTATATATTTATATACTATCAATACTGTTATTCCTGATAGGAGTTTCACACTCCAAGTGTGGTCATTTGGTTGGTAATACCAACTTGGTATGTCTCAAGAGTTTGTTGGTAATGTGCTTTTGTTAAAGTTTAGTTTAGGTAAATATTATATATATATATATATATATATATACAAGTTGTCCCTAAGCAAGTCAAAATAAGACGAAAATCTAAATAAATATTTTTCCTAATTACGTATGTTTAAAAGATACAGGGTGATAAAGTGTTACTTATCATATCAGTTTTTTTAATATAGTTTCTACTATGGTAGACTTGGAAAGGTGATATTTTGCGAACAGTCACTTACTATGAAAACACATATTCACACATAATTACAATGGGGTAGTTAAATTTTTTCTGACCTATACTTTTTATGGTTTTATTCAAGGCGTTTTGTAATTTTAAACATTTCTGTGAAATCGGAATTTCAATTGAGTTTACCGTTTTCGAGATATTTACAAAACAAAATCTCCTAATTACGTCACTAGGCTATTGACAACGTTGCCAGCTTTTTCTATGGTTGCCAGTGTGTTTAGTTTACGATAGATGGCGCCACGTTATAATATTTTAGTTGAGAAGAAGAATTGATTTTTTGACGTTTCTTTTTTTCGGGTTGTTTTTTTTTAAATTTAGATTATTGAAAATCAATGTTATTGTTATGTTATTTGTAATTGATATTAGATAAGTGATTTATTAATAACGGACTCCAAAGCAGAGAAATCTTGTGGAATGGTTGGTTACATTGAACATTGGAGCTTTTAAACAAAAAAAGTAAGTACCTATAATTATAATCATATTTTGTCGTAAATGCATTTCATTGGTATAATGCCTAGTTCTTTATATTCTTTTAGATATATTATTATTTTTTGTAAATTTATTTCATTCATTTTCAGCTTTATTTTGCCACTTTTTTCTATGAAATAAATTAAACTATGCTTTAGACAGTTATTAGGTACCTATTTATTACATTTTATTATGTTTCACACGGTGTTTCAATGTGTAAACCTATCAATAAAACTTTTAATTTCAGAATTTTCTTTAACCTTCTCTTCTTCTTCTTTCACTCAACTGACAGTGACAGTATTTGTACATAACCTCTTCGGGTATTTTCTGACATAACCGAATGAAATCATTAACAAGACAACTTGACAACAGGGTAATTTTCAACCAATAGAAATCTTAGAATGTTGGTCACATGACGGGGTTTGTGACGTCATAAAAATTTATATTTTTTGTAAATATCTCGAAAACGGTAAACTTAATTGAAATTCTGATTTCACAGAAATGTTTAATATTACAAAACGAATTGAATAAAACCATAAAAAGTATAGGTCAGAAAAAATTTAACTACCCCATTGTTTGAGTGAACACGGTGTCATAGAAACAGGGGTTGCTTAAGCTTATTGTCCCATACAAACTTTGAGGTTAGGTTTTTATACCATTTACTATTAAAAAGGTGTACCTCTAAAGTCGGATTTATAGTTCTAAAACGTAGCCGTAGCCGTTGCAGTTGCAGTTGCAGTAAGTAAGTAGCTAATTTTTACAATTTATAGTTCAGCGCGTAGCGGTTGCAGTAGTGGCCGCGTAGTGACATTTGTTCTGTTTACAAACATTTCAAGTATTTTGTATCGGTGATTTTCGCTTTGTTTATTTGGTTTAGTTTACTTATAAACATAGTTTAGTGACATTTGTTCTGTTTACAAAGATTTCAAGTATTTTGTATCGATGATTTTCGCTTCGTTTATTTTGTTTATTTGGTTTAGTTTACTTATAAACATGGTTTAGGAGCCTTGTTTTTGAGTTTGAGAGTTTTTCTGCAATATCTGCAATTTGATTGGCTGTAGTAGTCGTTGCCGCAAGAAAAGATAAAAGTTGGCCATCTCTTACGACAACTTACGACAACGACCTTGGATGCTACTGCAAAGATCCTCCAGCCAATCACAGACTGTTTTGCCCCTACTGCAACTGCAACTGCAACAACTACGGCTACGTTTTAGAACTATAAATCCGGCTTAAAACTTCGATAAAATAAACCGTTTTCGAGATATTCAAGATTACAATAATTTTTATATCGCATTAAAGGACTAAAAGGTATATGAAAACAAATTTTTTAATAGAAAAAACTACATTTTTTTTTAAGTGACGGTCAGGGTAAAAAGTCCCGAGTCTCATGGAATGCCCTTTTGAGTTTTTTCAATTAAAAAATAAAATTTGTTACCATATATTACCTTTTAATCCTTTTAAATAATGCGATATAACAATTATTGTTGTATTGTGTAATCTCGAATATCTCGGAAACGGTTTATTTTATCGAAGTTTAAGAGGTACACCTTCTTAATGGTAGCCGAACTGTAAGGTGACCAACTCTCCTGAAAGAAAAACCAGAACTCTAATAAAAAATCTCTATTAATTATAATATGTTTATTACCTAACATAATATTTTTACAAATTAAGATTTTTTAAAACTATATTTTTCTTGGGAGTGAATTTTTTTTATTAGAACTTCATTTTTTTAAAGCATGTTTGATCGAAGTTTTAACAATTAATAATGATTTTAGTGTTTCAATACGCAATTTTGATTTGTCTTTTGTCCAAAAGTTGTTCATATTGAAAAAAACTTTCTCTACAGAACTATTTGTTCAACATAAACACAACAATATTCGTTTGGGAAGAGCCAAGTGCAAACGCCAACGCGAATGTATTTAGTGGGAGTAGGGCGAGCAGGGTTGCACGATTGGGCGAAAAATCTGGCAAAGTGGAAAAAATAATTTTATGTTTATGGCTTAATTAGTATTGTAGGTATATGTAGGTATAAAAACAGAAAAAAACAGAAAAGCTTTTGAAAAACAGAACTTTTACTTTACTTAATTTACAACCAGAACCTGGTTCTCAAAAACAGAAGAGTTCTGGTTAAATCAGAACGGTTGCTCAACTTACCGAACTGTGTAATCAAAAAATTGCATCAAATGTTATAAAAACCTAACCTCAAAGTTGTATGGAACAATAAGCTTAAAGCAACCCCCTTTTCTACGACACTGTGTTCACTCAAACAATTATAATTATGTGTGAATATGTATTTTGGTAGTAATTACTTAAGTGACTGTTCGCAAAATATCACCTTTATATTAAGTTATATTAAAAAAACTGATATGATAAGTAACACTTTATCACCCTGTATCTTGAAAACATAAGTAATTAGGAAAAATATTTGTTTAGGTTTTCGTCTTATTTTGACTTGTTCAATATTTTCCTAAATTTATGCGAATAAGTTTAGGGACACCTTGTATATATATTATATTATAATATTATACTATAATAATAATATTATACTATAATAATAATAATAATATACTACAATAATAATTGTTTTCAGTAATAATTGGGGACTTCAGATTAGAAGAATTATTAGAAGTGATAAATGGTCTAAACCTAAGTCAGGCAACAAGTAGATTCCAGTGATTTTGTTTCTTAGATTATTAGTGTAGGTATACTAGTATATCAGGGATGGAATCATTATTTTTATCCATTAAAAAAGTGAGTGGAGTCACAAATTGGAAAAAGGAAAGCTTTAATCAATAATATATTTTACATTGAAATTAATTTATTTAATCTTAAAAAAAGTTCTTTGGTCGCTATACATATTTTTCTGTCATAGAAATGACCAAATTTGTCGACACTTTTTGGTCGGGACGATAAATCACACCCATAAATTTATTTATTTTTATCAGTATTGGTTAAACCAATTCCTAATATTAAACAAATATGCGATATATGAACTTAGCGAACATTTGCCGCATAGGGTGGAGCCAGCTTAAGACATGAAATGTGTTATTGTCCACAATTATTGTGGTTCTCAATATTTCTTTACACCTTCATAATAATTAATATTTTAATAAAATAAAATAATAAAAGTCAACAAACCTGTGTTAAACTCATATTGGGTTGATATAATGGAAAAGGTTTATAATCTGGTAACTGACTCATTCCTGTCCAAGTATCTTCAGTAGGTGTACCCAGTAGCTTAAATATTCTTCTCAGTTGATCATCAACATCAGACCCAGGGAATAGAGGCCGACCTAAAACAAACAAAAAATGTATTAAACCTTGCTTTGGAAATAGTACCTATGTGTGGAAAAAAAGAGGAGATTCGTCGAGAGTGGAATTTCATCATTTCACCATGCTGGTCAGACCAAGAGTCTCATACAATATTTTATTCAATTACGGTAAGGAATTTAAAGCCAATTTTATTTGAAATTATATCTGAAAACAGTCGAGCAGTTTTAACCACATTAAACTTCAGCCTCTGAGGGAAATGCTATTTTTGCCACGTGGGTGAAGAATTTTGCCCACTGGTTGAAATAAAATGGGTTTAATTTAAAACTTTTAAATAAAACCATTTTCTTACCTGCATTTGCTAACTCCGCAAAAATACAGCCTGCAGACCACATATCAATTGACGTAGTGTATAATTTAGCCCCAAATAAAACATCTGGAGGTCTATACCACAATGTAACCACCTCAGCTGAGTAACATTTAACTGGTATTCCAAAAGCTCTAGCCAAACCAAAATCAGCCAATTTCAACTCCCCATTCTTGTTAATCAACAAATTTTGAGGCTTTAAATCTCTATGCAAAACATTGTGACTATGACAAAACGCCAAACCTCTTAACAATTGAAACATAAACGATTTCACAACATCCAAATCAATATCACCATTCAAACTATCAAAATACTTCTTTAAATCCTGATCACAGTGCTCAAAAACCAAGGTTAACTTTTTATCGCTATGCAACACATCATACAGCCTCACAATATTCTTATGTTTTAACTCTTTGAGCAAACAAATCTCTCTTAGAGCCGATGAAGGTACCCCTTCATCATCATCATCCAATCTCACCCTCTTTAAAGCTACTATCTCTAAAGATTCCCTATTTTTCGCTTTAAATACCGTCCCGTATGTGCCTTCACCAATTTTTTCCAGTTTCTCATACTTTTGCATTGTTATTTTACTATAAATCGTAGCAAAAGAGATTTTGTCAGAGGTCTGCGAATGATGTAAACAATGAAAGTGAGGTTAGGTTGTTTTACGAAAAATAAATTATTTTTTTCTCCAATTTTACTGTTTTACTTTGTATTATTAATGAAAAAACTGTTGCTTTCATTTAATTTTTATTTTATTTTAATTTAAATCTATAAAAACTTGTTTTTTCTGTGTTTTATTAATGCTGCCATGATGGCAGTGCCATCTGGCGTCTGTAATTAGTATTAGTATTAGGGGTGCATTGTTTATGAATGGTTTATTTATATTATAAATGAAATCAATTATTTTTATTTCTTAAAATTTAAATATCATCAAGTCGAATTTTATAAACACGGCGCCTATAAACCATAAACGTCATTTTCCAGCCATGTTTACGCTCGTGGAGCTATGTTTACGCTATTAAAAGTAGACTGCAGTTTATTTCAACTTTTTCTGTGAAAAAGTGTGTTTTTGTGATTTTTAAGTGTCGTTACAAATTAACTAAAACAATGGATTCCACAGATAGAGGTTAGTTCTTATTTTTAAATATAATAAAATGTATGTAAAAAAGTCAAAGTTCATTGGCCGTATTATACCTACTTAATCATTTGTTTTAAAATTAGCTCCGTCAAATTAGGCGAAAAATTGACTGGGAAAAAATTTCATGTGAGATTTTTGTTTAGGTATATATCAATAGTAATACCTACTTATATAGTAATAGGCAGAGACTTGTCTCTGGTAATAGGTGTAGGTAGTAATGTCTCAAAAGTCGGCGCGTCGTTGCCAAAGGTCAAAGGTCACGCAAATTGTTTTTCTCGATTACCTCGTAAATTATTGATTTCACGTACATTTTGATTGCAATAAAATCGATTTCTCGGGTAAATCTGAATATTTATAAATTATAATTATGGGTATATGTACTAGGGTGCTTAATTTTAAACCGACATTTTTTTTTCAAAGTCCCACCTGAAAATCTTGTAACCGGTCAGAAAACAAAAATTTTGAGCTATTACAAAGCTCTTAATCTTTATTTTAAGCCGTTGCCATTTAATTTTTAAATATTTCCCTTTAAAAAACATTAAAAAACAATGTTTTATTCTTTTCTCCTTCCGCTCGTACAGTAAGAATATTTTTTTCGAATTTAGGTTCTAAAATCTTTATACAGGATGAAATTATCTTCAAAAATGTCTATTCAAGCAAGTCTGTAAGTTGAATATGTTCTTCACAAATTGCCGTTCTACTCGAAAATCTTCTAAAATAGCAGTACCTACATCGTATTCGGAGACTAAACTATTAATTGTAGGTAACAAACGTAAATGACAATTTTGTAGGGAATTTTGTGCCCTACAAATTTGTTACAAAATATTTTTCTGTATCACTTATAGTTTAGCTTGTACAGCCACTCACCCAGATAGCACAAGATGTCCTGAGGACATCCGGTTTAAATCCTTTACAGACGGTCGCGACCAGAAAACCGATGGACGTACTGAGGCCTAGGCCGATGGACATCCTGAGGCCTAGGCCTCAGTACGTCCATCGGTTTTCTGCCTGCGACGAAAGTTGAAGATACAATTTGATATCACCCTTTATAAAGGGTCTAAGTGAAAAAAAATTACACCTTGTTTTTTATTAAAAATACTCTTTAATCAAGCACGATAAAAGATTTTAAAAAAAGTTGTCCATTTTTTTTACTTATATAATTATAATTACGGCCCGCGTTATGTTACCCCGGTACCGTTTAGCCATGTTCTAACCGAAGTCGGCCAGAATACGGCATGCCGATGCAAAATCCTTCGGCTTGCCCTAGCCGGCCCGCTTACGGCTGGAATTCGGCCTGCCGCGGCATAATCGATACATCTCACGGCTGCTTACGCACGCGAGATAACTATAAATAGCGATTGGTTGCAATATTTAGTTGGAAGTGTGTGTCCGTAATGGCATAGCTAAACATTAATTGTTTCTCCATCCTCATCTGCTCAGTAACGAATAATGTCTAGCTAGTCGAGTGTGTTAAAAAAGTACCTATCTTGCGATTCAGAGAATTTCAGGACTGAACTTATAGGATATACCTCTCCAGGACGTCTGTAAACTTTTTTATTATAATAAAACTATGTCCTAATTCGGTCAAATACGGACGTCCTGAGGACAACTGAAACAGTCTATTTCGGAAGTCTGTGGACGTACTACGAACGTACTTTTGCAGACCCCGGACATCCTGAGGACGTTCGGGTTGTCCTGGGTGGAAGTCCTACGAACGTCCTACGAACGTACTTGTGCTATCTGGGCACAGTGTCAAATTCTTAAAAATTCAGTTTCTGAAGACTGTAATAACTATACTATTAGAGTTACGTGAAAGAGTAGGGCACAAAATTCCCTACAAAATTGTCATTTACGTTTTTTATCTTCAATCAATACTTTAGTCTCCAAATACGATTTACTGCTATTTTGGATCCAGTTATAACTTAAAATTTTAATTAAAACGATCGTCTTTTTTCGACTATTATTTTAGACGATCGCCTTTTGTATCGTTTATCACTTTAAACGATCGTCTTTAGGGTCGGCTATTATTTTAGACGATTAAAGACGATCGTTTAAATAATTAAACGATTTCGTTTGAAAGTAGACGATCTTCTTCAGACGATCGTCTTTTTTACAAAAGATCGTTTAAAAAGTTAAGCGATATCGTTTAAAAATAGACGATCTTCTTCAGACGATCGTCTTTTTTTTAAACGATTTTTTCCCATGGGGAAGATTTTCGAGTAGAACGACAATTTGTAAACAACATATTCAACTTACACACTTGCTTAAATAGACATTTTTTAAGTTAATTTCAACCTGTATAAAGATTTTAAAACCAGTCAGGTTCCAGCACTTGACAGGGCAAGACGCAATGTAGCAGCGAGAGCTCTTAAAACGTAAAAGTTAAAACCAAATAATTTCTCAAAAGTGCAAACCAATTACCTATAGTGAAACAACTACAGTAGTATAGACTACCCTACGATCAAGAATAAGTTAAGAAATAAGTGATAAGAAAGAGTTAAGTGACAATTGAGCTTCTGGGCGGTCATTCCACCCCTCAACTGGACGCTTTTCACTAGACAAACAAAAGAGAACAAAACCAACAAACAATTTTCATAAAGTGCAAACAAAAATAGTGTAACGGTTAATAAAGAGTGAAGTGTTAAGTAATAAGAAAGAGTTAAGTGACAAGTTTTAGCTTCTGGGTGGTCCTACCACCTGTCATTGGACGCTTTTCACTAGACAAACAAAAGAAGTCAAACAATAGGGGAAGAGGCCATCCGCAAAAATTGATAAGTATCCTCAAGCATATGCATGACCTAACACATAATTTGCAAAATTAAACACGACAGATACCTTTAAAACCCTAAGAAAGGCACACTGCTTAAACTCTAGAAAAAAAATAATAAACATCAGTAACAATTGAAACATTAGAAAGACAATACTAACCAAACACCATAAAATAATATTGAAAAAATACAAACAACAAAAAAACAAAACTTCCCAATTCGAACTATCGCGGTGATACACCAAAGCTGAGTAGGACAATAAATCTGTCAACAACAAATGCGTAAGGCATGAAACCAAGTAGCTTAAAGAACGGCCTCAACAAAACAACGTTCATTTTAACCCAAACGAGACCAATAATAAACATTTGACACTTAGAATATAAACGAACATTCAATAAATCATGAAGACCCAAACATAGTAAAAACAGCATACTAATTAAACTCTATTGGATTTGTAAACAGAATAATTGCGTTTGTCATTTGTTTACCTAATAAATAAATTCAATGAGGGAGACCGGGGCGGATTGGGGATTATTTTTAGTAGGGTACGATTTATTAAAGAATTTTTTTACTCCATTCCGCCCCGCCTACGGGACAGAATGGGGTTATCGGGCTTAAACAATTTACAGACAAGTTCTGCATCGTCGTCATCACTCTCTATCCCCGCACACGAATTGTGAGCCCACTTTTGGCACTGTGTGCATAAAATCCAACCCTCAAATGAAGCTGAAAATGGGTATATACAGTATATATATATATATCGAAAAATTATAAAACTAACCACAATTTCACCACGTTTAGTCTAAAACACACTAAAACGTTCGTAGTAACCCGTTTGTCATTCCCAACTGACCTGTTGGCCTTCTAGTATATGATAACAATGTACGATAGTACTCTCGATCGTCTACAGCGATAAATTTAAATAAAACAACGTTCTACCCCGGTACCCCGTTCTACCCGGTCTCTCCTACTTCATTTTGGAAATCAAGAAAAAAAAAGACAAAACAATTCTACCACAAAACGAGCTTGGTCAACACAATAACTAAAAAATTGTTAGAAATTTCGCACTACTGCGGCAATAAACAATTAAAAAAAAACATCAAAAGCTACAAGTTACATATCCAACTACTGAACTATCTATTGATGGTTTTCGGCAACTAAAAACATGTGCAGAAACAATTCTACTTGGACACTGACACGACCAACAACGTAGACGAAGACGTAGGCTCCTGCTGCAAAATAACAACTCCTGAACTCCATACAGTAATCCCAAATGTTTGGAGTAATACCAACTGCCTGGTCTAGGTGGGCGTCGTACTTAGATTTGAGTCGGCGTAATTGTCCCCCCAAACACCAAAATATCTATCCCTCCCGTCCTACCTCCTTCATGACCTTACTGGGCGTATAGCATCGGCTCGGCGAACCCGGGATTGGCTACTAAAACTATTGGCATTTCGCTCTCGAGCCATAATTAGGGGACAGTACGGGACGCAATGGACATTCGCAACCAGCAAACACGGGTGGCGAAAGAAAATCGGCGCAAGGAAACAGAGGCCTATGTGGGGCCCGGGAGGGATGAGGCAATGGGGCCGGTTATACGTCTCTTATACTCATATACTAATACTTATACTCATAAAGATTTTAAAACCGAAATTCGAAAAAAATATTCTTACTGTACGAGCGAAAGGAGAAAAAAAAATTGTTTTTTTTGGTTTTTAAAGGGAAATATTTAAAAATTGAATAGCAACGGCTTAAAATAAAGATTAAGAGCATTGTAATAGCTCCAAATTTTTGATTTCTCACCGGTTACAAAATTAACAGGTGGGAATTTGAAAAATAAATGTCGCTCTAAAATGAAGCACCCTAATATGGAACCTTTATAAATGTAGGTACAGTAGCGGATACGGAATCTTAAACTTGACAATTGTATACTTCTGTAAATAGCAAAGATACAATATTGAGCATTTTTGCTTTTGCTGTTAAAATGACAAGACTACTGATAACAGGAAGTAAGGTTAGTTGTCCATAAAGCATACCTACATGCTTAGATTTTAATGTCAACGGGATGATAGTCGTTCAAAATTCCATGTTTCCTTTGTACGTGCCATTGATCATAGTGAGTAAAAATTCGCCAAGTGGTCCCTTGATTTTTTACAATCTCGCAAAAATATTTTTTTAATGCATCTCTAAAGTGTCACGGAGTGGTTTTTAAAAAAAATT